TGAAACATGTAAACTGATCAATAGCTTTAAAAGCCAGGTGTATCCTCTTGCTTTAAAGCTTTTTCCAAAACAGTCCTTCCCAAAAGCAAAGGATAACTTTGGAAACTGCAGACAAGCTTCCTAGAGTCCCATCCAGTCTGTAGCAGAGTTAGTACTTATTCTATCTTCTTTCTGTTTAGGACATGCTAGAAGGAGATTGAGAGCCTAAGGAAGTTAAATTTCTGCTGAACTGTCAGCATAATTTTCTATTCTCCAACAAGGCACTTTTACTGCCTGTCTTGGACCATGACACTGATTTTGCTCCAGCTGGTTTAGCATGACAGGCAAGACCTTCTCATTGACAGATATTGGGGCTTACTATAAGAAAATACATACTTCATAAAATAAAGATGATAATCATAAACTTGGGGAAACAGCTGTGGAGGATAATGAAAGATTTCTAAGTGAGTGGAATATTCCAGTGGAATCTTTTCCACTGGAAGATATTTTCACTTTTTACCAGAAATTACTGAACTCTTCCCAATCTGTAACCAGAGTAGCCCCAACTCAAATCCATTGCCTGAACCATCCTCTCTGTCCCCTATATCCAGTCACAGCCAAAGGCAGTGAGGAACAGCTACTAGACCAGTCCTACAGAGGCACATTTGCTCAGCTGCTCTGCCTTCAGCCCCAGTACTGCCCTCAGGACCTCTGCACTATGTTCCAGTATATAACACAGATAAGGCAGTAAATCATCACACTGCCTCATCTTCAAGTGAAGGCTTTTCCAGTTTAGGACCATTGATTGCTTTGTCCCAAATGTTTGTTTCCTTTGTCCCTTTTTTCCTAACTCAAAAGTTGGAAACATTGTCAGGAATCCATTCCTTCAGAAAAGAACAAGATAAGGTAATATACAGTACTACTAAATCTAGTGACCTCCATAAACTTCCTAAGAACACATGCAGTTTGCAGAAATGCTTTTTAATTCAGCTTATTAAAGAGCATGTAAAAGACAGATAATGCTTAAATTGTGTGTGTACATTGGTGTAGATTTTAAGGATGGAAGAGAGCATAAAAAATTCTTAAACTATACAAATATGTTAACTAGGCTTTACAAACTGCTTTCACTTTGGACCTGGGCCCAGAGTGTAACCATATTATGATTTCTTGGCATGAAACTACAGCTCTGATGGTTTCATTCTTCTGTGAATGACTAACACTTTACCAAAAACTTTGTTTAAACGCAGAAGAATGGGTGACCTTCAAACAAATAATTTTTCAGTACCTGAGAACCTGGCTAGGAACAGTGCAGGAAGCACATGGGGCTGGGCATTGTACCTTGAACACCATGCCTTCCTTTTATCCTGCCCCTCATGCCATCCTCAGGCCCCATCTGATTGGTGTCACTGCAGGGAAGTATCTCCACCTTGCTCTGTGTGAGAACAAAGGGCTTCGCTACGTGTTTGCAAACCGGTTTACTTCTTGCAGCCTTTCAAAGTGGTTCACCAGGTGGTGCTTTTCTTGCCAAAAGGGAGGCTTAGCTCAGCTCTTGGGTTCCTGTTGACTTCCAGACTCACTGGGAACTGGATGCCCTCACCCAGAGTTCTGAGTAAAGCAAAAAGATGCAGCCTTGGTTACTAAATATTTGTTATCTACCATCACCCTTTAGCTGCTTATTGGTAAAATAGGTAAGTGGTTGTAATAGGTACATGCCTGGGGGAATTCCAAACAGGAAAGCAAACATTTCCATATGTAGGTGAGTTGTTTCCCTGCTCACAAAAGCCTAGGTTTCAAATACGCTGCTAGCATGGAGTTTTGATATTCATGTTGCTGCTTTCTGAATAGGAATGAAATAGGCTTTGCACTACAGTGGGGAAGAGTGTCTGGTCTGGAGAGAAAAGCAAATATATTGGAATTAACACCTACACAATTCAGAAAATGCATTGCCTTCAAACCATCAATAGCTTTGCGCATTGGCAGCTTCTCTGTCAAAGAATTGGCTGTTACAGGGACAGCCAGCTCAAACCAGAGAGCTGCTGGATGAGAGGAGGTGGCATCCTCCTCTCCCTGAAAATCTGCTGAAGCCCCAGATTTCAGATGATTGGCATCAGCACTCTGCTTTGACTCCTCTATATGCAATGAGGTCCTCAGTTGCCTTCCTTCAATGCTAATTAACCAAATTCATATGCAAAGCTGCTGAGTGAAGCAGCCCTAGGTATAGGGTCTGTGGAGATGACTTTGCCCTCAGAAAATAGTCCAGATTTTAATCAGACTGTGTGAGCTAAAGCTACTCTGTGGCTTTAGGTGGCCATTGATAATGACCTTGGTGGAAGTCTCTCCTAACAGCTTGGGCTCTTGCTCAATCTCACTTCTTCACCTGGTGGGCATCCACATGAAAAAACAGAGAACACTTACAATTTTGTGATCCTTCAACACCAGCTACCTGGTTGTGAAATGCAGAGGATGGCAAAAGCTGCACTTGATAATAAGTCTATTAACTATTAAATGCATACCCTGCAGCATGATGTTCTTTCCAATAAAACAGGCAGCAACAAAACCAGATTGCTCTGGATAGGGAGTGTTCAACAGCCCAAACTGGATTTTGGCAGGATGAACATCACAAACAGTAACAGGCCCCCTCTTGTAAAAAAAAAAAAAATACATTAAATTGTTAATGCCACTATTTAATCAGAGCTTTGATCTTGATTCCAAGAAACGAAACCTCAAGCCAGTAGTTGAAATCTCTACAGCCAGCACAGGCATTGGTTTAATACTGACACAGAATAAGCGTCATGCTGCTGTCTGCTGCTAGCTCTCCCACTCTCCTTGGCCTAAGCCTACCTACTTAATCTAAAAAATCTAGGAGGTTTGGATTTTATTGATCACCAATAGATAGAGTTTTTTAATGCCTTCATTCAAAAACAGCTGAGAAGCTTCCATTCTCCAAGAAAGGATGTCCCATGGCAGATCCTAGCCATCGCTTCCCTTGCTTCCCAAGCAAATCTGAAATTATTACAACAAAGTTTGCTTTGGTATTAATTTCCTTAATTAATTAATTAACAGAGCTCTGTTTGGAGCTCTCATTCTTTCAGTGACATATTACGTGTCAAATCCTACATGTTCCAAATCTTACCTTTATGAAAACAAATGAATTCTCTTGCTACTTCTTATGTGGGAGCATGTAGAATCTGGAGGTTCTCTGACCATCCTGCAGACAGGTAAAAAATGGCTTCCAGGACTGCACTTTTAGGGTATGTGGGGTTCTGTTAAACAGCCTGTACAGAACTCAGCTGGTAAATGCAAGCTGAGTTACAAGGGCAACTGAGTGACAGCAATGAAAGGAAATGTTCAGCAAGTCGAGACATTGAAAATTACTGAGATTACAGCAACAGTTAAGTACTGTGTGTCTTCAGTATTCAGGCCTTAAGTAACAGCTTTGCTTTTGCTGCAAAGGATTCCCTGCATAGCTCCTGGTTTTCTTCCTGAGTATTCTGAAATATATATGTTCTGTATCTCATGTCTGCTTTGTGGTGTATTTCAGAAAAAGGACTGTATCAAGGGAGATCTAAAAAAGTATAAAATCAGGCCACTGCTTATGTTTATTTTGCGAGAGGCATTTAGAGCATTTCTTCCCTGGAATCCACCCTCATTAGTGATGTTTTCTCAAATTACTTTGGCTACTTTAGGTGTCTCTTTAACAGAAGATGTGTCTATTTTTACTTGCCCTGCATTCACATCTGTTTCATTCTTATCAGCAAATATCCATTCATTGGTCCTATCTAACTCTTTTACATCTATCTGCATTAAAATGTGTGTCACTCATTAACTCAGGGTTTGTACATAAATTAGTCTCCTATATGTCCTGTAGCAGTGTTACTCTTTCTGCTTATTGCATCACCTAAAAATAAAATTACATTTCATTTCTGGCAGATATCTGAATTCACATCCCTTAACTATTTCTTAGTTCAATCAGTCAATTTTTGCAATTAGATTGTGTTTGAAGTCCTGTGAGTTTGACAGAGTATTTGTATTCAGAACATTCTGTTTACAAACTTGATGGGTGTGGGGGGTTGTTTGTTTGTTTGTTATTTGTGCAAGAAATAAAAGGTTTCTGACTATTTTGTAATAGCTTTGAAAATTATTTAGATAGAAAACTCACGGGTCCACAAATCTGGACTGTATTAGCCTTAACCTTGCAATGAAAGACCAGCATCTAGAAGACAGCTCATATTTAAATATGAATTTTTAGTAATCTACTTGTAGTTGTATTCTGTCCTAGAAATCTATTTGAGAGATCATCTTTGAGCAGTTCTTCTAAGTGCTCCATAATCATGATGATTTTTTACTTCTTGAGTACTAAAATATTCTCTATGTAGGTATGTTCACACTGGGTTTTCACACAATTTAAAAATCTTTCCACACATAATATAATTTCTTGTAATAAAATAAGATATTCATGGCAAAGCATTATATTATACAGAGAATGCACTATTGCAAATATGAAAGGTAACCTCAGTCATCTAAATTAAGTCTTGAAAGTTAATGCATATCTATAATCTTTGCCCAGGAGAAATGTAATAAGTCTTCACAAACAGTTGCATCAGATTTCTAGAATTTTATCTAAGTAACTCTACCCCAGCTGAATGATTAAATCCTTAGCACTCGAATATGGGTTTGTAATGGGGAGCATTTAATTTGTTTCAGTTCCCTGTACAAATAATTCTAATCTACAGCTCACTTGCCCTGGTTTGAATAATGTTCATATTTAACACAGTAAAATGCATGTGTCTAAACTTGGCTTGCAGTGCTGAAACAGCTTGTTTAGACAGACAGATATTTGATGGATATTTAGTATCTCAGATATGTTTATCACACTAATTCTGTTTATAATACTAACTCTATTTAGTTAGATGTGCAGTTTTTCCAGCAGATACACAAAGACTATTAGTATAATGTCTGAGCAAACTACCTGTAATTAGTTCCTGTCAAAACTGACGTAAAAGCAACAGGAAAGAAATTACCTCTCGTAATTCTTTGATAGTTGATGTTCTATTGTCTGACGCTAGGGAAAAAAAAAGGAAATAATTTATTACTGCTATCATCTTATTTCTGTAGCATAGAAATTGCCTCAGAATTACATAACCATGTCCTTTGCACAGTTAGGTGCCCTTTGTTTGTAAATCATCTCAGGGGAATCCACAAAGCCACTACTGGCAGTCAGAGGTGGGAATTTTACGTCGTTTTCATGCTAAGCTTTTTCCCAAAAGTGCCCTGTTTCATGGTCAGTTCCTGGCAACAGTATCATGTAAACATCCTCCGCGTGTTTTAGACCTCCTTCTCCATAAAATATTGTCCCAGTAGTCTTCTGTGGCACTGCTGTGGATGGAGAGGCTTAGGGAATGTTTTACATTTGTTAAGAGTAAAATCTCTAGTCTCTTTTCCCTCCCTGTGAAGACAGAGCCCATCTCCAGGACAGGCAGTAAGTATAGTGGGTATCTTATTTCTTTTTGTTATCCTAGCTGATCAGACAGTGTGTTACCAGACAATGAAATGGAGAAACATAAAAAACTTCTACAGAATTCTAAAGAAAGTTGCAGATGAAGAATGAGTATTTGAGTTTGCTCCAAAATCTTTCAGGACGCAGGTGTAAGCCCAAGGATTAAAAACTGGCTTACTTTATAAATTTGGAGTTACAAGAAATCAATTAGCTTGTCCTGTCCCATAGACTGTGAAATATCAGGGAGAGCAAAGAGAGAGAAGTAATCCTTCAGTTTGTAAAGAGAAGCAATAAATGTGAAAATTCAGGCTCATACTTTAAGACTAAAATTTGTTGTGGGCATAAAATACTCTTCCAGGAAATTGGTTTTCAACGGGGAAACATGCTATCAGATGTAATAATGATCTATGGGACCATCTCTTGTATGAATTCAAAAGTGCTGTAACTTCTGCAACATCCTCACTTGGGAGTGCTGGGTGCTAAAGCTCAAAGCAGAGCTTTATGAGATGAAAGCATGTTGCACTCCAAATGCATTTAGCAGCTGGATGAACAGCACAATTATGGCTCCCAGTATGTGCCATTTACTTTGCAAACAGGGAGATTGATAAGTAAAGATCTGCTGGATTATTGCAAAAAAAAAAAAAAAAGAGTAGGCATGTATGGAATAAGAGAAAAATATATGTGGATCAGCTATTGTGTTTGAGCAGTAATGAATGAGAGAAATATGCTGTCAGTGTGTTCATCACCAGCCTTTAATGACACACCATGCCTATTTTCCCATCATTCATGTGTAGAGTGTTTAAGGCATGTGCTCAGGAGCAGCTCCAAAAGAAACAAGCAAACTACATCACTTCCTCCTGAACTATTCTCTAGGGTTGGTTTAGACATGAAACAGATCAGCAGTAATGTGAAAGTGGTGGAGCAGAAGGTTACATACTTGTCCAAATGGATTCATCAAATACCTGCATTTAAAAAGGTTTATAATAAATTGGTTACGTTCTAATGAGGCAAGGAATCTTTTGAAGTGTGCATAAAAGTGATTCTTTTCTTCTTTTTTTTTTTTTTTTGTTAGATTAAAAAATGTGTTATAGAATTAAAAATTTAGTTTGCTAGCGATGCATCATCTGTAGCTAAAATCAAGCAAAGGTAAGGGCTGCCACCTCAAGTCAGATACCAAATCTAGAGGTTGCAATATCATAGTGTCCCCCTAAAACAACTTTCAGAGGGAAAGGGTTCAGGGAGCAGAAGAGATAGTCTTCACAAATGCACTCTACAAGATGCAGCATTTGATTTAAGGTCTGGTCTTGGATAAACTGCAGGTAAACTGAGTTATACAATTAAATCAGACTGGCAGGTTGCATATGCACATGAAGTTCCAGGTTGCATGAGAAGCTGTGTGAAAACAGGATCAGACTGGGTCTTGAATTGCTTGAAAAGAAAGGGTGTTTTACATCACAGCAGGTTAAAACTTTATCTGGGCTTCTGGAGCACCATTGGCATAATCTGATTACTATGCAGGCAGGTGATGGCTGCTCCTGGATAGGCCTAAAGGAAATGAACATTGAAAGTATAAAAGAGTGCTCAGTGGAAGCGGAGTGGAATTCTGAAATTATTTGGGACTGAATGAATACTACAAAATAATCAATGCTGATAAATTTTAAGAAGTGTCTTGCCTGTTCAGATTTCTTAAGGTTTTAAGTACTGCTTAACCTTTCACTCTATCAAACTTGTTCTTATATCCACTGCCCTTATGATTTCTAACTTGGTCCAAGACATATTTGAGGGAGGTGTTGGAGCAGGGGGAGTGCTGTATTGGGTTGATTGGTTTGGGGTTTTTAGTATTTCTGATTGTTATGTTCTTTCACATCATTTGATATATTCTCATTATTCCCTTAAACTAATTCTATGAAGCTCCCATTTTGACACTAACATCTCATTCTAGGTGTTAAAGTACTGGCTATTCAATTCTCTCAAAGTAAAGCCATGAGTTGTACTCTTTCCTGCTAAAGGAAATTATGATTTACTGGCAGAGAGCCAGGGTGAAACTGACTGTCAAAAACTCTGTATTGTGCTTCCAGTTGTGCATCTCTCCTGGTTTGTAACTTACTGGGATTTTCTTGTGCTTCTAATTTCAAGCTCCAAGCTTATGCATTGCAATGCTTATCTTAATTTCTGCAAGCATAGTCTGATTACTTGCATTCATTTACAAGCCTTGTTCCTCAGACCAGTAGAAATTCTCTTGCTAATTAATTGTGTCTAACTGAAACACTAAGTGGGCTTTTAGGTCCATACAGGAAAACTCATAAAAACCAAACACATCAAATTTTTTTAATACCAAATACATGAAATGGTTTCTAGGTTTTGCATTTCTCATCACTAAGTCACTTTTTAGTCCCCCTGCATAGGGTTTGAGTAACCCCAGGAATGACACTGTGCCATTCTTTTTTTATGTCATCATTTCTGATACAGTTAATGTTAAATTGAAAAACTTAATGTTCAGAACATGATTCTTTAGACATCATTGAAAGAGAGCTCTATAAGAATAATTTTTCTTTATATCCTGTCAGTTAAGGCTCAGTTTTCCATTCTGATCAAGGTGAAAAGACAACATCTCTGAGGTTTTATGCAGGTTGAAGGGACTGTCTGCTCACAGCTATGACTTTGCAAGGGCACCCCTTTCTTTGTATAAAATAAATGTGACACATTTAGGGAACCTCAGCTTCCTGCATGTAAGCTGCAGTAAAATACCACAGATTTACAGATAAAAGCCAATCCTGCAGAAAACCCTCATACAACTGCACAAATCTGCAATAACTGCATGGGAGGAGTCTGAAGGCTTTCACTGAGAATGGGATCAATATGTCAAATAATTTATTCTCTCAAAAATTATTCTATCCAGGACTTGAAGATTCCTAGGAAGCACAAAAGTATCACTGGCCAGATCATCTCTCACCAGTAGATATTCATGGGGATCTCCATGTGTCACACTTGAATTTTAAGACTGTTAGAGAGTTTGTCACTGCTGAGGTAATTGCTAAAGGAACTTCTTAAGACTCTTCCCTAGAGCTGTACCAGTTAGAGAAATCTGGAATCTTAATCTGCTCAAAGCCTGAATGTGGGAAGAGTGGCTTGTGAATGACAAATAGTTAGAACTGCTTTCCAAGAGCTTCAGGGACAGTACTATACAGCCTGGAAATTGCTGAAACTGAGGATAAAAAAATCTAAATCTCTCATAACCTTTGTCCTTTGGAAAATTTGTTAAGTATGTCAGAAGAGATACTTTACTGTTCTCAAATGCTTCCTTTTAGGCATTCTTCCAGGCCAGCAATGGCTTTTGAATTTTCCCTAAAATACTACTTCAGAGCATTGGCCATCCACCTGTGTAAAAGGGAAGGGAGCAGAAGGCTTTTTGGCACTGCCAATTCCTTTAGGCATCTGACTCAAGTGACACAGGTATATTGCAGATTAGTTTCCATTTTCCATTTCAGGTCAAACCTTATATTTTCTTATATTAAGGCACTGAACATATAATTATGAGCTTTTTCTACCTCTTTAATTTTGTCTGAAACTGATCCTGACCCTTTGATTTTAATTACCCTGAGATGATCTTGAACTACATTTTAAAACCCTCTGTGAAGCAGACCCATGCTGTACATCTTAACTGTATTTCCCAATGTGAGGACTCCTGCTGTCCAGTCTTCAGCTATATTTGAACTGCATCCCAAAACTGAGGTTTGTAGTGAACACACACCTTCACTTACACCTCCCACCCCCACCAAGCCTTTCTCTAGAGCAGTACCTCCAATTCTAGTTCAGATGTGGGGTAGCTGGTAGTTATCCCTTCAATCTTCTCAGGAGAGAATTAAGGGCAAGGCAGTGCATCTGCTTAGGAATATTAGTTGTTCAATTTGTGCCTTTCTTTTATTCTGACTTTTAAAAGTGTACCCACCAGTATAAACAGATGGGGCTCAAAAGAGCAATTAGATTAGCAGAATTTCAAAACCCATGGCTTTTTATGACTGTATCTGTCTTGTCTTGGCCAAGAAAAAACATTATTATAATTCCATCTGCATAAAAGATGCTTACCACCTCCTCAACAATTTGTTCACTGTTATCTCTATTGAGCACTCCCATACCCTTCTCTGGTTTCTTATCACTGGTTGCTAACTGAGGAAAACAGCAAGAGGCAGGACTAACAGGGAGAGTTAAATTAGCCCACTTCCACACTTTACCTCCAGTAAATCTGCATGTGAATAAAAGTCTTCAGTAACCAGAAGAGATAATAGAAGAAAAACCATAGTTCAAGAGAAGCAAATCTCAGGCTGACTTCTCAGATGAAGGACTTTGCAGGTGTTCCCTGCAATGCTGTTCTAAGTCCATATCCTCTTACTGTAGACCTAATACTACTCATTCCATGTAGCTTTGGCATAATTATTGGCTTAACCTTAAACCATCCTCTCTCACAAAAAGAAAGCGCCTTGCCTCTGCATAGATGAGGTGTCAACTCTCCACAGCAAAGCACTGCTCCTGTTTCTGCAAGGAGAAACCTCATGCAGATACTGGAA